TTTTTTTTTCCTTTTGAACCTTGAATTTCTAATTGAGTCTTTAATTCTTTTCACATTTCCGTGTGTTGACTGGAGTTTATTCAGCACAAGACTGTAAAGCTCAAAGGAGATGCTGTTGTATAAGCTTCATTAAGCATGACCCTGATTTTCTGCCCCGTACACAGCTCCTGGTCACAAACAGATCAAAGCGGTGCTTGTTTACTGCAGTCTAATGTGACAGAGGTCTAGACTCGTATTCGCTGGGACGCCTCTCCATCTCCTTGGTCGTCCATTGGCGAAGTTTATTTTGCCGCCGATTTACCCCGTTCTCGATTGTTGGTTTGTTTCATTACACGTCTTATTTCGCTAATGTATTGCTTTGTGCATTGTTGTTATTTAAACCCTCATTTGCGTTTTATAGCTGCAGCTGGAAACATGCAGGATGTAATATGGTAATCATGGGAGAGGAACAGGAGAGGCAAAAAAAACCAACAGTATACTAGTCGAAATTGAAATAGTAATGCATTAATCCTAATTAAAATTCCTGTGAGAACAGCAGCATTTCAAAACAGCCCCTTCTTTTTCGCCTCTTCTCTTTATTTTATTTCTCTCTCTGAATTCTAAATCAGTTGCCATCCTGAGCGTGTAACATTGATTTTCCTCTCTCGGGTCTAAGAAAAGATGTTTTTTTTTTCTCCTCTCACTCTCTCTCTCCCTGTCTGTGTCTCCTTTTCATTTTCTGACTGTATTTGCCCTCCAAAACTTTTCTGTTGATCTTTGTTGATCTGCGGCCTGTGCACGCCAGTGTGGCGAAGGCTTGCTGCTGCTGCTGCTGCTGCTTAACCTGCGATGAGCTTTAGGCGTAAACTAGACCGTGTCCGTTCAAGTCAAAGCAGCTTGAGTTTGATCCTCTTACTTTTGACAGATCTAAAATGGCTCCTTTTAATACAATCCATCCCTCTTCTTTATCTCTTCCTCCTCCTCCTCCTCCTCTCGTCTCCCATCCCCTCCCCCCTTCTGCCTCTTTCATAGTGGATATGAATTTGATTACGAATACTACAGGGATGATTTCTACAGCAGGTATGTATCGTTCACGTTTGTTCACATTGCTAACTCACTGTTAAATCAGATTTGGGATTTAAGGAAACTATTAACTAGCGACCACCTCAGTTAGTGTTGAAACACCTGTTGAGCTTTGCATTCTCACAGTGGCAGATTTATCATTTAAATTATTGGTCATTTCTAAAACAAAGGTAACTTTCACCAGTAATCTTGTTTTCAGGCTACATAAATAGGCTAAAGCTCACATGTTACAGACCAAAAGTTGACATCGTCACCAGTTCTTGATCCAAGCAGCAGAAATAATGGAACATCATTGTTCTGTTGCACTGTAGACGTAATTAGTCCAAGTCTAATATGTGGTGGTTGGATCACTTTTCTAAGGAGAACCAGCACGATGGAGACCAATTACTTAGGCCCCTTTAACAACAACACAACTTCCTTATTCTGACTTTCATGTAACCCCCACAACCAATCAGAATCATGAATGCCTTCAACTGAGATTACTGTAAATGCAACTCTCCTAAAGGGGCAAATAACAATTTAAATATGTAACATAACATATACTGTGAATTATTTATGACCTAATGTGTAAACACTAACAATGTGTATGTAAATGGTTCTGTAGAAATTTGCATTTTTACCAAATTAACTATATGAATTATGAACTACACTAGTCCTGTAAATGTGACAAGGAAAACTTTGGCTCTTTACTTCACATAGTTGCTTAATTTTATTTTATTTGTTTAAATATTGCAAGAGAAGAGGGTTTGGGATGAGGAACACCTGACAGGGCACCCCTGGCAGAGATTTCTGGAGTGTAAACTTAAATCCAATAAATGGCAGCACAGAGCCGCTAACTTTCGCCTAAACTGATTCCAGGACCATTTTCCACACAGTGGGGAAACGCTGTGAACTGGTTGTAACCCCACAAACTAATGCTGTTTGCGCCGTCGATCCGCTGCTTGGCCTCGGGTGCAGTGTTGCTTGGCAACTTAGCCGTTTTCTTGCCAGGTTTGGCAACTTTAAAGGCGCTTTTCACAACTTTTTCTTTTTTTTTTTTTTACATCTATTTTTCAATAAAGTGCCAAGAGATAAATCTGGTGACATTTTTTGGGTACACACTGGGGAGTCAGTAAGACATTAAAATCTCTCTGGACTGACTGTGTGCAGCGAGCATGAGCTGGAAACAATCACTGATATCCACTGGGTGCCCAAATAAACACCCTGTTATTTGGTTTTGTTGTAAATGAACAAGAGTTAAAGTCAAGATAAATTTACCTGAACTGTTTAAGTTTAATTTTTATCTCAAAGTTTTGGATCCCCTTCTTATTTATACTTCCACAGTCTGCACAACATACAATGTTTTGGGAACTGGAGGTAGATTTAGATGCATAATGCTGCGATGATAGCAGTAGAATCAGCTTAATTTGAGCTTTTTGCTCTTGGTTTTTCCAAATTTGAGCTAATTCCATGCACATATTGTTGCTGCTGTAGTGAGCAGACCGAACATGCTACTGTTTTCATGCTTCATTACAGCAGAAAACACAATTTAATCCCTTCGCTTATGCTTCTCCTCTTGCGCTTTGCATTTGTAAAAGGCTAAAACGCAGAGTATTGTTCTTACTGCGGCCACGTCGACACAAATCCGAAGCTTCGCAGGCCGCCTCTGCTGTAATAATAATTGCTAAGCTACGAGCGGACAATATCTGCTCGGGAGGAAAGGGTTCAGTGGCTGGTCAATAGAGAAGATTTTGATTGACTCGCCCTCATTAAGAGTCTCGCTTGTCAGATTTAATTCCGTAACCTTCCCGCCGAGGTACCTTGAAGAAGTCAACTTGTCAAAACGGCTGAGCGGATCGAGCATGCGGCTCGGACATGCTGACGGAGGAACACTTGTTTTCTCTCTCATTTATCCGCCAGTGATCAGAGCGCTTATCTGCGGAGACATTTTTCTATTTTTCTAAATGTCAAACTTGTTGAGAGCCGTGACAGTCCGGCGTCACATACAGCAGCAGCCCGAGCAGACGCAATCGTTTGACATTCAGCACCTTCTTCTCTCCATCCTTCTCTCTTTTAAATGAAGGGATTATTTTCATGCGTGCAGTGACCTGGATAGCTGTGTGGAAAGAGGGATACTAAATATGAACCAAAATGTCTGCCTTTTGTTTTGATGTGTGCCGTTTGGAGAGAGGAAGATGAATGCGTAGCGAATCTATCTTTAAATACAATACTGGCTTTAGAAAGATAGTGAGACAAAGTGAAAAACCTTCTACCTCTAGTCGATGGGCTTTTTCTGAATGCTGCAGGACCTCTTGTGACATCGTAGAAAAAGTGTGAGACGTGTAATATTCGAGGTTTTTCTCCTCTTTAGGCTTTTTGACTACCATGGCAGAGTGGCCCCCCCACCCAGATCCGTGATCCCCCTGAAGCGCTCCAGGGTGCTCGCTCCTTCCTCCCGCCGCGGGAAGACCTCCTTCCCCATCAAAACCTCCTCCTCTTCCTCCTCCTCATCCTCCAGACCTCCCACATCATCCTCCTCCTCCGGGGTCAAACGTACGTACAAGAAGGTGCTCTTTTACTTGCCTTGTGTTTACGCCGGACCGCTCAGATTTGACTTTTTTTTTTTTTTCCTGCAAAACAACACGGCCTAATTACGCTAATGGCATTCTGTCCCCCTTTTTGAAAAACCGAAGGCTTAATGCAAATCTCAAAAACCATGAAAGGGGAAAAAAAAAAGGCGACGCCGGCATAATTCAGCCGTGCCACTTGCGCCGCGCCACTATAAAAAAGCTATTTAATTCACTCCAGCAGCTCAGAACAAGCCACACTGTAATGTAGAGCAAAACACTAAATCGCAAACACAAATATAATCCCAGCTTTCCGAGCTGCACCCATTCAGCAAACGGCGCTATTCCTGTCGCCCGGCATCCATCTGGATCTCATTTTGGTCCCTCTGATTAACTGGTGATGCATTATAGCGTCCTAAATGTAATTAATGTGAGATTGGGTGGGTGGCGTTGAGGGTGGGAGAGATCTCTGTGGAGCTGTGGTCAGCTGTGTTTTTCCTAAATGTTAGTCTCTATCCGTAGCCTGTGTAATTGGTTACAGTGTTTGTTTCATTGTTGCCTGTCTAGGCCAGTGTTATCAGCGCGAGCAGCTTGGTGAGGTCTGTCAGGAGGACCCAGCTGCAGTTGGTATTACACAGAAAGGCGGGGAGGAGAAAAAAAAAAGCCCATCTCCCATCCTCTTTTTGGACAGAGTCAATGAATTCTCTTCTCTGTCTAAGCAGTGCGGCTGTATGTTTGGGAGACTAATTTGCCCCTGCCAGGACCATGAAAAATCACTGTTTGTATTGACTTTGGCCTAGATAGATTGGACAGCGAAATAAGGTTAGCTTGTCCAAACAACGGGGTGGGTTAGTGCGAGCAGTTTGAACCACTTGGGCAAGTTATAATTCACTTTAGGGGGGTAAAAAAAAAAAAAAACAAACAACCGTCAGATGCATGGATCATGAAGACGGATACATGTGGGTTTTTCAGACTAAGCCCTCTGAGACTGTCAGTTCAAGTGCTTTAACTTTTTTACAGCTTGCTAAGTCAGTTGAAACAAGGCTGTAACTGCTCCACAGACTTTTTTTTTGGGTGTGAGTCACAGATATCTAAGCAAGGCTTGCCGTTCAGCAGTCATCTCGGTAATACTCTTGGGCATGTATTTCAGGCTAACAAGACCAAACCCTTACTTAAGGAATAGGGAGAAAGCCATACTTGCAACTTCAACGGGCAAAGCACAGCTGCAGTGAAAAATCCATAAAAAATGTTTGGGTGATTTTGCCTCAAAACAAGGTTTAAAAGGTGTTTTTTTTTCCACTCCATAAGTTATGCGTACAGTTTCATGACTCAATGCTTGAGGCAGCGTTGCAACATGATTGGTTGGATGTTTCCCAGTTGAAGCAGAAGATTGGCTTCTTGAGGTGGGGGGCTGGACATCAACGTTATAGATTTCAATTCAGGATTCTTTAAGAAGCTTTCAAAGCTACTTGTTGAATCTAATATGTGGTTTCTGAATAATGTTCACGTTTTTCTGTCGGCCTTCTTTGCTAAAATGTTCCTTATTTCTTCACTTAACTGAAAATGTATAGTTGTAGCTAAGTTCTTTGGCTCATCATTGATTAGTTGATTATTCGATTATCTGATCGAGAGAAAATGAACCAAATTGCTGTTTTGGACTAAAACTCCCTGAATCCAGCTGCTCAAAGTTGCAGTATTTTCTGCGCTTTTGTGATGATAAACTAAAAATCTAGACAGTCGGTCAGACGAACCCAGACGTTTTTTCTGCTTTTTAGCATTTGCTGACATTATAAATAACAAATGATTCGCTCTCCTCTCCATTCTGTTTGTTCGTACATCTTAGAGAATCTAAGAAACTGCTTTAACAGTGGTATTGTGACTTTTGAAATGATGAGCGCAGCCAGAATTGCGAAGCTTTGAATAGTTTGTCAAAGTTGGATGAGAATTTAACCGAATACCTCGCTAAATAATTAAACAAACCCCATTCCCAGCCCGCGTTTAGGAGTGTAAACCGGTGAGCTGAAGACAGTTTTAACGAAAACACATAAATATGTGGTTGAATTCACCAACGCCAAATGGTTTATACTCCACATATATAAAGCTAAATGTGCAGTTTTACAGCAATAAAAGTAAAGGATTAGGATATTAAATAAAAATGCAGATGTTTTGCAAAACAGGCACGGATATGAGTACGGCAAAGTAAAGTGCACCATAAATCCCTGCAGCGTCCATGTGTCCAAGCTGGTAACTTTTCAACAACTGCTAGAGTCTGAGTGACATTGGCACCACCAGCCCCCAAAACTCTTTGTCCAGTTTAATCTTCATAGACCAGTGATTCAAGAGATCCTCACTATCCCCGAGATAAAATGTCCGCAGTTCATGACGAGGTCCTAAAATTAGCCTCATTACTCATTCCCTAAATCTTCCCCTAATGCTTATTAAATAACAATGGCCCTTTTTTTCCAGGCCTTTTCCTTTAACTGGGGCTATCTAAAGATGCCGTGTTGATGAAGCGATGTTGGATTAGGGCGTGTATGTTTTCTCTCTGCAGCTTATGCGGCTGATAGCACAAAAGGGAAAAAAAAGGCCTGGAGGCCCCCGATAAATTAGAAACTGTTCCACACTTTCTTATCATCAAAGGACGACTAGTAAGCTGCCCAGAGCGGGCTCAGATAATGTTGGCATAGGGAAGTGAGCGTATATGTGTGTGCCTATTCTTGGATGTTGGTTTGTACAAATGGAGGCAGGTGAGAAAGAGATAGTGACACTCCAGCGTGTCTCCCCCCCCACCCCTCCATCCAGATATGATTGTATATCCAATGTGTTAGCCCTTTTTATCCCGTCCAGAAAGGTCGATTTTTTCTGCTCGCCTGTAGATTTAAGGCTGATGGCTGCTTTGCAAAACAACACCGGAGTAGATCTTGGGATTTCTGCCCACATATTACCTATGCATTGCCTTCAGTGTGCCATTATACGCTGCTTTTCTCTCTCTCTTGTTGCCACATTAATCATCCTGCTCCATTTTAAAGAAGTCATGCATTGGCAAATATCACATGCATTGGATCCTGGTGGGGGCCAGCTGTTGTGCTGTTTTTCACCAATTCTAGTGAATGATTAAAATGTCCTTTTTGGGGGAAATGTAGCTTTCCGCAAGGTAATGTGTCAGTATATTTATTTTTTTTATCACGCGCTGACATCTTCTCTAAATGTAGATGTGTATGTTTTATGCATGGGTTTGGATCATACAAAGTGGCGCGTAGACATCGGAAGGGGCGCCGCATTGTGATGTGGTGTGGGTGTAAATATACATCAAAGAAACTAACTCAAAGAGCCACATGCAGACATGATACCAGACAAGTAGTGTTTTGATTTTTCTGCATGTCTCCTGTCTCTGTTTTTTTTTTTTTTTTTCTCTCTCCAGCTGAAGCTTTACAGGAACTCGTGGGTTTGTTTACCGAACGCCTCATCCATCCTCTTTCCAGCCCTGACAGAATCTGATAGGTGTCAAAGAGAATTTTATGTTTTCTTCTCAACTTCTGCCGTCTGTTCTTCCCTTTTTCCCCCCCTCTCGAAAGATGACACATTGCAGCCGCCGAGGGTTAAGGAATAAGATTATCTTATTACTTTTATGGTCTAAATTCTTTAATCTGCTCAGTTCGAGCTGCTAAGGAGTTACACCCTCATTTCAGCGGCAGACGGACCAGATTGAATTAACGGCGACGTCCTTCAGATGTTTTTGTTTTATTATTATTTCCTGCTGCTGTTATTTTTCGTATTAAGGTTGAGACTCCGACTTCGACACGATACGGCGGCTGTGTTTCGTTCACCTCAGATATGTATTGTGGAGCGAACACCGAGAGCCGAGGCAAAGCGGGAGGGGGAGAGCAATTATTCATAAGGTGGTAAACAGAAGCTGTGAGAGAGAAAATTGAGCCCCCTGTTTCCCTACGTCTCTGTTAGCGAGGCTACAATCAGGCAGGAAATGCAAAAAATAGGATTGAAAGACGCTGGTATTGTTTTAATAGAGAGGTAGTTTTATTTCTGCCCTTATTTCAACTAACCCAGAATTAACCCACCACACGAAAAATACTGTGTATAATCATTTTATATTAAGATCCACTGGTTCCTAACCTTGTGGCTGCTAAACACCCTGTAGTAAAACCAGTATGCAAATATTTGAAATTGCAAATAAGCTGCAGTTTCTCTGTGCATGAAATCCTTTTTTTTTTTCATAACTCGCCCCTGAATCTAGAAGAACTGCTTTGTTATGAAATGCATGAACATAGATACGGTTTCATATAGAATTTTATTTCACTTTACTCTGAGCTACACAGATTTTAAATGCTGTGTTTGAATTTTTGTCATGTTCTATGTGACAAATTGGTAGTGCTAACAACAATAAAGCCACCTGTGGTGTTGTTTAGGTCCTACTTGTGTAGCTCTGACCTGTTGGAAAAGGGACTTTGTGCACCTTATAGATGATTGATTAGATTGAATTCTGGGGCGTTTAGAAGCTGGAGCAACACATGGGGCTCTTGGTCGTGTTCCTCGAGCCATTCGTTAGCACTGAGTGTCACAAAATGAGCACTATTACCACTTCTGATCATTGCATTTTGAAGTTATTAAGACAGAAATTCAGTGATGAAATTAAGTAATTTTCTTAAACAAGAGGAAAAAAATCAAATATTCATGTAAACTGGGTGTGTTCAGCCGACACTGGACATCTCTTCGTCCCCCTCACTCCTGGAGGAGCTGCTTTATCAGAAATACAGCAGAGGAGCAACCGGTTTATCAGCTAACAGCACAGATACAAATACACCCTATTTCATGTGGCTGTTTCCTCATAAAATCCACCGGATGAATGCATTTAATGTCCAGCAGCAACAGCGAGAAGAGATCAATTTTCAGTAAGTGCGACCAAATTTACCATATGCACTCAAGCAAGCAGATTCTATCATAAGGTGTAAAAAAAATATATATATATATATATCCTCATGCTTTACAGAATCTTCTAATGTCAGCACACTGAAAGATAGCACACAGTTTGTGCAGATATTTGGCACCACTGAGTGAAACTTGAGCAGCGCTGCACAGCATGGTGGGCGTAAGCCGTGCACTAATCTTCAAATTGAAAGCAGCAGGTCCACAGTTTTAGCTGGGTAACTTTTCAGTTGGCCAGATAAAGATGTTCTTCCCTGAGGAAAGTGTGACTCAGAGTGATGCTATGATTTCCAAATGCTGAAAACCAAACTGACGGCAGACGATCTGTGCTCCCTTTTAAAAAAAAAAAACGAGCGAAATTAGGACGAGCTTAAAAGCAGCCCGAAAAATAAAGACGTTTTCTGCCTTCTTTTTTTTTTTTTTTTCTGTGCCTCAGCAGTGAAGACGGACCAGCTCCAGACGATTAAACGGGAGCTCACTCAGATCAAGATGAAGATCGACTCTTTGCTGGGACGCCTGGAGAAGATTGAGAAGCAGCAGAGAGTCGAATCTGGTGAGAAACGGGCGGCGGAGTCTGAGGACGAATAGGGAAAAGGGACCACTGAGGGAGGGAAATTAGGAGCTCACGCTGGCCATAAGTCTTGGTGACATTGTGGGAGATAAGAGCGGCGGAGCTCTCCGTCATAACGGCAGACAGGTGTCAACACCCCGCTGACTCAGTTTGTATGAGAGGTCTTTATAGATGCCCTTCACTGCAGGACGGCGTCAGAGTGCAGCTCCCTGTGAAGGTCGTTTAGGCCACAGAATGCATGTTTGTTCCCCAGATTGGGTTTTTTAATTCAAATTTCCTGTTGAACATACACAGCAGTTGAAATACCAGAATCCTTGCAGTAGACGGCTCCAGAGGTTAAAATGGAGAGATAACTGTTTAGTAATGCATTAAAAAAAAAAAAAGTGCATACAGAGTGCAAGTCACTCGGTGGCTCGCTGAGGACAAACCACTTCTGCCCACTTGACGGCAAAGAGCAGCACGGCCCCGAGAGACCGGCAGATTTTATGTGTCTGCACAACTTGGGGAAACCGAAAAAGGCAGCCTAGTAAACTTTGCTGAAGAAAACTACAGACTGTGATCACACTTCATTCTCCGTGCCCTCGTTTTTCCCTCCCCTCAGAGGCTCAGAGAAAGTACGAGGACAACTGCGACTCCCTGCATGAGGAGTCCGTGTCAGAGACGGCGGAAAACTCCGGGGAGGAGGCCGGCGAGGGGGCGCTGGACGTGGAGGCGGGAGAGATGACTGACGGAGGCGAGGACGACTACGACGAGGAGGGCAGCCACCATCTGGTAAGAGGAGCGGTTGACAGGGGCTGACAGGGAGGGAGAGTGCGAGGCACTTTGGGAGATCTCAAGTGGGCAGACAAGTCTTTGCCTTCTGAAAGTTAATTTTCCAGAATTATTCATGGCCACAGATCTGAGGGAGCGGGGTTTCACATGAGTGAATGGTGAGGGCGCCCGGACTGACAGTTTCTCCCTGTCGACCCCGAGCTGAAACAGTGGAAGCGAGGCTCTTCGCGGGCCCACACACACACACACACACACACACACACACACACACACACACTCGCCGGGCTATAATTAAAGCGCCGGGCTCGAGACGCATAGGAGAGCGTTTAAAGACCAGACTTGGCATGAGCCGGTGTGGATCCAGCCATGAAGTGGTGGATGTCCAACAGTACAGAGCAGGTTTCCTTTCACAAGGTCAGTCAAGAAGTAGCCAAGAGAAGCTGTCCAGGAGAGGCTAGTTATGATTTTAAAAAGTAGTTTAAAGCAGCAGTCTTCAACCTTTTTTGCACCACGGACCAGTTTTAAGCAAGACATTTTTCTACGGACCGGTCATTACGCACATAACAAATAATCATTGTTTTTTTTCTATTGAAAAGTTTCATAAATAAATAAAATTAATTTTTATTGCTTAACATGTTTACTTCTTCTTCTGTCTCAGCATCAAGTCTCGGCCACTTTCCAAAGCAGCTCTCCTGAGACGTTTGTTTTTGACTGACGGCTTCGTTTAGCAGTCAAGTGCGGGAAACGAAGTGACGGGAAGACGAGCTAGTCATGTTTCAAAATAAAACACCCTGCAGACTCCGCTGGAAATAAAAATAAACCAATAAAATGTTTTTATTCTATGTGTGCGGCCCGGTACCGGTCCGCGGCCCGGTGGTTGGGGACCGCTGGTTTAAAGTATATTAAATCTCAGTGCTTTCTATGAACCAGTAATCTTGTTTAACCAGCTATCTAAACCCAAGGTGATGCTTTTACAGACTGCTTGTTTTCATGCTTAGTTGCTCTAAAGTTGAATTCAGACTTTTAAAGAATTGTTTTTGGAGTATTCACCAATACTCTTATGCAAATGTAGTGTTTTTTCCACCTAAACAAACAGCAGCACTCAAAGATTACACACAGATTAATGACTAAAGTCGCAGCTTTCCTCATCAATCTGTCATTTACCAACTAAATTATCTACTCGGGCTGTAATTTCTCAAAGGTGACGTCATCAGATAGCTTCCTTTGTCCGAGCAACAGTCCGAAAACAAAAAAAAGTTCAGCGCTTCAGCTCTAATTTCACTCGAGAAGCGGCGTTCATCAGTCTTTCCACTGATGTGACGGTTCCCACAAAGCTTATATTGATCGTATTCAATCAGACAGTTGATCTCAGTCAGCTGTGGCTTAGACGCACATTTATTACACCAGTGATTTCAATGGAAAAATGGACTGCAGCTCCAACAAAAAAAAAAAAAAAACGATTTCAGTCTGTTGAGAGCCGCCTGCACAAAAAAAAATCTTTTTTATTGTATAATGTGTTTTTCCTCCATCCTTTACTTTGAAATGCCAATGGTGCATTTCAACTGAAAAGATTAAATTACTGTTTTGGTTACACTGCTGCGTTCAGATGACTGACCTTTTAACATGCAATAATATTTTAGTTTAATGACAGTTATCCGCACGCCTTTAAGACACCAGCCAGCGCTTCAACATTATGCAGCGCTCCAAACAGTAAATTTAACTATACAGCCGCTCTTTCTTTTTTTTACTTCACGTCTCACAATTCATGGAGTGACTTGAAAGCCTCGTCTGGATTCAGCACGGCCCGCGCGCTGACCATGCTTTCTTTATTATGCTATATTTATTAACCATTAAGTGGGTGAGAATGGCCGCGCTATCCTTGATGAAAGCTTTGTGCCCTCGCTAATGGAGGAGATTATTTTTCAGAGACGCGCTGGAAGAGATTTATTTGTTTCCTGAAGGTCACATTGATCACAGCTTGTGATAATGTAGCACAAAGAGCGTTTCGCCGGGTTTGGCACGGCTGCTCTTGTTGAGCCTATTTCAGCAACGACCTTTAGAAAAAGATTAAATACAACCGGCAGTTAAAAAGGTCTGTATCATATCTGGTGATTCTTACCTTCCTCCCCCTCCTATGTGCTCTTCTTTTTCAGATAGAAAACCACGTATCGGATATCGACAACTGAGATCAGGTGAGAGTTTTGGATTTCCGAGTGTCCGTTACAATGATGTTGTTCAACAAGGCTGTAAAAAAAGTTTCTGGGGGGCTCTTCTAGTCATTACAGGCTTTACATCCGGTCCTCATTAAAAAAGCGTAGCTACTCAACTGTGCCTTCAGTATCTCTAAACATCCGTTAATCATCTCCTAAGTCATAAGCTCCATGACATTTGGAAGACCAGCGTCACTGAAGGGCGGCTAATACCAAATTCGACAGAGGGAGCAATAATGGCATTCCAATGGGCCAGAACTGCCCATAAACAACATTCATCTAATTGAGTTGTGTGGAAGGAGGGTATGAATGGCGAGGCCTAAGGTAAAGAGTTTGCCGCCCGTCGCCTCTCAGGATGTGGCTAATGATGCAGACACATCATCAGTTGGCTTGGCGCTGGCTAGCTCTTCGTAGCGGGGGGCTGCTTGGCAGCGTTTAGGAGTCGCAGACTGTTGATGTAACATTGAGTAAGCTCTGGTACAGTTTTGCTGCTGGACGAGTAAATGGAAATCTGCGTTCCTCGGAGGATTCAAAGCGCTGTTAATTATGGTACCTAATTAAATCTTTTAGTCTGTCGGTCAGTTAAAGGGAATAGCTTTTAATTTCGGTCAAATTTGAGCCATTTGATGGTTTAACTTTACTTCCGATCTACAAAAATATAAAATCACTCTATTCCTGTCTCTTTTACTTCGGTGCAATTTGAAGCTGTGTCCGAAATTCTTCTAATCCGCCGCTCCTCGTATAATAAGTGTTCAGCCTCCTGAAGTGAGCAGTGATTCAGATTTGGTCACATTGGAAATAATTGACGCAGAGACGGCTTCACGTCTTTGAAATGCTCTGCGTTGCACTTTGGGATACTTAGCAGGAAGCGGTGCTACTTTTGAGGGCGCTATATCATTCATACATTTTTAATTTATTTTGGAATCGTGGCTTAGTCCAGTTGATGTATTTTTAATTTTTGTGTGAAACCATCTGAGGCTATAGCTGTCACCATCTTTGATGTGTACGGTTGTCATGGTTACAGTTCTCTACTTTTGCGAGGATGGTTGAAAAAGGCATTGCTTATCTATTTATGCCATGGATGGATGTATTAAAGGGACTGCATTTAGCCCAGTCTCTCTGCTGTGTTCTGTAAGCGGTCGCTCAAAGTATTGCAGCAAAAAAAAAAAAAAAGCAGCAACACCTGTCAATTTAAATCCATGGAAGTTTTTATATTTGCAAACTTTCCCAGTGCTTAAAAAGTGAGTTTTATTTGCTTGGTGTAATCCCAATGTAAAGTCTGTGGGCAGGGAGACACTAATGCAGGTGGCCGCACAATGCAAAAGCAAACTGGGAAATGTTTTTTGGCTCATGCAACAGGTTAGCAGTTTTTACTTCAGCGGCTGGGCGCTGTCTTCCAGTCTGCTGTCCAATTCTTGTTAATACATCCGCAAGTCATACCAGGATATAATTATTATTGCTGTAATTGCTTTAGTGTCACTGTGAGAATACAAGACAGCCACCGGAGAGTCCACCGAGAACTAGTCCCAACATGGAGCATCCTGTAAAACTACAAGTTGTCGTTTTTACAACAGATGGAATACAAGATATGACAACATAATAGATTTAATACAAAGAGGTTTTTTGTGCAATCCACTCAGTTTCAACTGCAATTCTACAATTTCATTTTGCTTTTTTCCAAAGCGATCTGAGAGCAGATACAACCATAGACTGTATAAAAGATGGACGTAGCTACCGTGACGTCACCCGTTGGTTTCTGCACTGAGAAAATGAAGCCAGGGTTTTGCTACTTCCTGGTTGATATCTTGGATTTTTGGAGCCAGTGACGCAAAAATCGTCGGAGGGGGGCGGAGCCATAGGAGCAGCGATTGGTCAGATGGATTGAGAGGCGGGCCCTCTCTGCCCGCCCACATTTACCGCCTTCTGCTCACTTCGTCTGTATGGTCGACTGTCAATCAAGTCAGCCACGCCCCTTGCCCTGCAAAATGTTGACGACTTTTTAAAAATTCAATGTTGATTTATTTTCAGATTGGCCACCTGATCTCTGGACTTGACCATGAAAACTAATAAGAAAAAAATCCTGAGCTGTAGGAATGCAGTATTTCATGATCTGTGATCACTTCTTTTCCAATTCATTTCTATGGGAGCCAGGGCTTTTTGGAGCCAGGACTACCAGACGTAGTGATATTGCAGGTTTTTGACACTTCCGGGTTGGCTTCATTTTTCAGGGCCGGTTGCTACGTCCATCTTTTATACAGTCTATGGATACAACACAAGCAGGGATCTAGTCAGGAGAAAACAACCTGGATAAGTGCCATAGAACAAGTTCAAGTGTGATCGGGCGTTGATGCCAATAGCAGGCTGTGTGGGAGGTAATGGGAATATATTTTTTCAACACACTAGAATGTGTTACTTCCTCTCTTTCCAATCAAGTCTTTGGATGCACACCTGTCTGAATTGCACTGCAGTGACTGAGCGGGGACTAGAGGCTTCCCTCTGTTCCCAGCTGAGGCGTTTGTGGAACATTAGTCAATCGTAGCGTTCACCAACATTCTGCATATGAGGCGTCTGCAAACTGCAGCTCCAGAAAACAACCTGAGTTACACTCTCGCCCTCTGAACTGCTTGAGTCACATCTCACCACCCACCGCCGCAAGTAATTCTCAACCTGTGGGATCCGCTGAGGTATGAGGAGAACAGCCAACATTATGCGTTGCGTTTATTACAAAAAGTGCTGCCAAAGTACGACAGGGAGCAGAGCTTTTGCTGTCGGAGCATCAGCGTTCTCCAAGAAACGCGTCATGGCCACCAGAGCAGCCTTTCTCTCTGCAGCGTTTCAGTGCCAGGCGGCAGAAAAGAGCCAGAATAGAATGATACAGCAAAGAAGGGCGACCTTTGGGTGGCTTTAAGTCCCAGGTCATGCTTATGAGAAAAATATCTATCTGTCATCTACATAATGTGTTAAGAAATGAGCCATTTGTATGGAAATCAGGGGGAAAATGAAATGAAAAATACTTTATTTATCCCAGAAGGGAAATTCAATAAAAAACAAATAAAAAAAAATATAATAATATATAATAATATAAATGTATATATAAAGTAAATAAATACATTTTTAAAAATAAAAGTAATGATTAACATGTATTAATAAGTTCCAAAAGCCACCATAAAAAGTCCTAAATTATGTGCAGAAATGAAAAAGTTAGCCGCACCAGTGCAGCCAATGAAGCTAATCACGGCTAACTTTAGCTTTATGTTTAATATTTTTAATGAATTTTCCCAAAATAATACAAAATTTGGACGATTAGCGCCATTAATCGTGCCTTATCGACTAAATACACACATGCAATGCAATTTAAAGTCACATTAATGTTAACTTGACATCCACAGCTCTAATGTTATGCTAGCATTAGCTTAGCTTTATGCAAATGTTACACAGTGATCTGCATGTTTTTGTGGTTTGTGGGATTGTAGATGCATTTATTTAAAAAAAAAAAAAAATCAGTAAAGCAGAGCCAGTCCTCCTTTTTTGTTGATAAAAATGAACATTACTCTAAAGTTTCTTTATATACAAGCAAAAAATGTTCACCGCTAACAACGCCGCTAGTTTTTTTTATCCCCATATGCTTCTCCAGACAGCTGGTGTCCCAGTTCTATCCACCTCTTAGGAAACCACATGTTACACTTAAGTTTCCCATTTCCTTTCCATATGTCAGCCTTTTTAACATTCTGTCGGTGGCAAATTCACAAAAACCTCCTCACAGCACATACATTTAAAAACCTGAAAATCACACTGGAGGTTGTGGAGAATGCGTGAATGTTTTTCGCTTGCAGGCCTACCAAGGATAGAAAATCACAGCGAGAAGAACCTCAATAAGTCATGTCCAGAAGGATTAGAGAGGCAGCTCCAGCTAGCAGAAAAAAAACAGTTTCTGCACTCCCCGAGATATTTCTAAGGCCATTCACAACGGACAAGCTTTAAAAAGTCCGCCTAATCCTCATCAGATTTACAGCATTATAAACAGCCGCCATGTTTGAGGAGGAGACGCGGTCGTGTAAAAGTGTTTTCATGAGTTTTTTTTTCCTCTCTTCAGGGCGCGGAAGCTCCTGGTTCGGTGGTATTAGAATTCATCTTCACCTTCAAGAGACAGGAAAAGGCTCTCGGAAGGGATCAAGACACTCATTCAGGACTGTAAGTTGTGTTCAAGAGATGCCGAATCACATTTAGATGCCCAGCTGTGCAGCACAAATCAGATGTGACGTGCTCTCGAAATAAAATGTATTCAAGACTCATTTCAATGCATCGGCCTGAGTTTACTTCATGTGCAACCTATATTACATCCAAGAAGCCGCCAGCGTCACGACACTGATTCTGCTCCTGAAAAAATACAAACTGAGAGAATAAAGGGTTTTCTTTTGATTTCTAAATGACATTATGTTGGAAGACGGTAACTTGTTGACCAGTCGTTGCTGCTTTTTATGAAATGTGCTTGCGCTGTAATTTCACAACGAATTTCAGTTTTGTTTTTTTTTTCTTTCCCCTCAAATATCAAATGAATAAATGACAGTCAGAACAATCTGCCGGCCGCAGTGTGATATTCCGCAAATGAATGAAACATCACTGCCGTCTGCTTCGGATTTGACTCATACATAAGCCAATAGCTGTGAGCATAACTTTATCCAGCTTTATCCATTTATCACACAAATGCCCTGTGGGGCTGTTCCATCATATATTCCAACTCCTGCCAAGATTCAGAAGCAGAAAGGGCTTCCTGTGGTACGGAGCCAACACTGGCACAGGCCTCCTGCCAGGGAGCAGTGCCCCAGCGTCTCGGTGCGCTCCTCCCCGCTCAGCCTTGTGCATCCCAACATGGACTGCCGCTGTTGAGGAGCCAACGCCTTCCTTCCTTCCTTCGCCGTCTACCTTCTGCTTCGACTCCGATCTCGTGTAGGCAAAGCAGTTTTTAAAGAAACAGTTGGATTATTTTAAATTATTCACCGACAGGCTTTGATATCATCTCAGAATGAGATCTGCGATTCCGAACGCTTACATTTCGGCCCTAATCTAACATGACTGAACGGCTGATGCTGCATTAAAGTCAACTTGAATGAGATTATTTTAACAAAGTGCACATGAGGGCGAATATTAAAGCCGCTCAGACGAAGCTGATCCAGGCGGCGGTGGATGATTTGTCCTGTAGTTTGGTGGACGAAACGGTAAAGCTGTTTTCGTCAGTTTAAACCGCTGGAACCGCTACCAAAAAAAAATAAAAATGCAGCCTGAGCTTCATCTGAGCAATTCTAATTAACCAGATTACAAATAAATTACTGCAAATTGAATTATGTCACTAGCGATTGGATGCCAGCGTGTTCTGCTGTTAATTATTCAAACCGTTCTTCTCATTTTTTTTTTTTCCTTCCTTTCTCACTAATCAGATGTAACCACTGTAAAGTTATTTCAAACAATGAGCGGTGTTTCAGGAGGTGGGAACCAGGTGTCTCAGCTGATTGCTCGGTGGCATTAGTTTCGCTGAGATACACATGAGCTGAGATTCGATTACAGCAGGAAAAAAAAAAAAGCCAGCTGAATGGTGTTTGGAAAGTTTTCAAAGAGTAGGAGTTGTTAACAAGGAGGGATTGCTCTGGTATTGGGTTAACTGCCACCAAAAAAAAAAAAAGCAGTTGAACATTTGCATTTCTACCAAATTGGGTAATTGTTCACGTTTGGTTTGCTGTATGGTTTGCTGTGCATTGAGCTGAAAACACTGTTCGTCCCACCAGAAGCTAACATCTCTCACATCAGACTAATTGGTGCCGCCGAGTGATCAAGTTAACACACCTGGTCTCCGTTAGCCGTCAGCACCAGTTTAAAAGCAGCTGTGAAATCAAACGGAGCTCTGCCGCCGTTTGGAGCGGCACCGTTCGGTCCTCATATATGTGAAAGTTGAATTACGAGACCGCGGTTTAATGGGTTGTTTCACCCAAATTACAAAAAAAAATATCTCTTACCTGCAGGAGGTTTCTCATTAAGCAGATATCTGTGGTTTTATGTGCACGGGGGGCTCTTTTCACATATCTACCCCCGAGGCTTGTAGCCGCCACCGTGCAATCAAGGTAACAGAAATTTAATTTGGGGTGCTTGAAACATAGAAAAAATTGCAAATTCAAGAGGAAGCTTTTTCATTTCAGAAACAATGTCTTAATTAGGCTGAGAAATCAACACATGCTTCTGGTGGTAGTTTATTATTTTTTTTATGGTTTTATATGACCTTGGGTTACGTAAGGCTTCAATGAAAACCATTAACACTTAATGAGCTGCAGTGTAATTTAATTAATACAGCTGCTTTCAACAAGGGGTGGACTGATTCATCGTCGCAACAAATCATCAGAGCTAATATTCAGCGTTTTTGCAGTTGCTGGAATTTCTAATTAAAATAGTGATTTAATTAATTAATTAAGCTCTGATTCAAGTCGCCACTATCTGTGGTCTTTTATTGGTTATGCACTGAGTCGAACTGAGCTCATCCATCAACGCTGAGGGATAAATATTAAAAAAGTTCTCTTTTAATTTAACAAATGCAAAATATAAGTGAGGAATGTGGTGGAATTCTAAATTTTCTCGCTGAGATTTTTCATTTTTCTTGTAGCTAAATCCGCTAAATATCAGTTATTGTTCCTCTTTATTACTAATAATCAATATTGGTTGACCCCTACTTTGGATACAGCAAATAAATGTACATTTGCAGCCAGTAAGCACCGGTCTAGGCTCCTAAAGTCATGAGTAAGAATATTTTCTTGTGTGATTTGGGTGAACTGACCCTTTAAACTAAGGATTTTTTTTATTTCTTTCTTTCTCAAAATGTGAAGGAAAAGTCACTTCGCACAAGTTCATGAACGCACCAGTCAATCTCGGCAGCACTGCCTGAAAAAATCCATAAAATAAAAAAAAAATTAAAAAGACTGTCCTGCAGCAGCTCATTCAAAACTCAGTGTCTGGTGACCGATGATAACGTGTAATATTTAGCACTATTTTTGTATCCAGAAACATGTTTAAAGGAAATGGCTCTGCTACATGTTTATCTTTTTATTTTTTATTTTGCTGGTAGCCTGTTACTTAATGAACCGTATGGTGACGTGTCAAATATTTTGCAAAAAATAAAAATAAAAAAATTACACACACACAAAAACAAACAAAAAAAAAAAACCTCATTGCTTTTAACTGTGGTATTTTATCTGGGTCACTTCAGAACATTTCAACACTGGCTTTTCGTTCGCCCTGTAAATAGTCTTGTTTATTTCCAATAGGCTAGGAAGATGACTTTTTTTGTTAAGTTTGACTTACAACAATATACTGGCAGTTTGTCGGGATCATTGCAGGTTGAAACCAGAACCGCGGGACTTGTAGAGATGTGTAACTGACAACTGTTGTATAGAAATGTACATTTTTTTGTAAAGATATTTTTATCAAAAGGCATGTTTACTGTAACTTTGTATTTTCAGTTTATGTACAAAAAAAAAAAAAAAAGACAACAACAATATATTCCAACTGTTGTAAGGCTAGAAAACTCATTGTCATTGTAGATAACTATTTGTGTTCTTATCCGTCAATAAAAAAAAATGTTTGTGTCATATATTTAACTGGTCAAATGTTTCAATGATCGACGCTTTATTTTGCAAATAAACTGAAGGACAAAGAAACCTCATTGTAAAGTTCTGTACGCCATCGCTGACGTGATAATTGCACACAGATGGTTCGCGTGTAAATATTTGGCGCGTCATTAAGACGTGCCACTTAAAAATTCATTCTCCTCCATTCATTACCGAGCGTCTTCCTCCCGCTCAGGCTGCTCGTTTAGTCGTGATTTATGGATGATTATGCGGGGCGTGTCGCCGCTGTTGTCGTCAAAGTGACACTTTAACAAGTTACGCAGCGCAGTGTTTGAATACATGTCAAATTAACGTCAATCAGCGCGAAACTGGACACCGTAATGGCAGTTTGTCATCCCGTGTTCCGCTAATGGCACCAGTGGTGCTGCCAGTTAGATATCAGTGTGTACATTCAACTGGGAGCTTCTCATAAATGCAAATCAACCATAGCTGCATGTCCAGGTCATTATAAGTCTGCGTGAGAGCGCCTCAAAGTCAAGTTCTGATCTGAAGTTTTTAGTCCCTGAAGTTTAGATTTAGTACTTGGTGGCAAGGCAGCGTAATTCAGTTTAGCCAGAACAATAAGTTATGCTCGTCTTGAAGCACCTGATGCTGGAAATTTGTCACATAACTGACGTAGAAAGCTCAAAAACGTTCATCATGTCTTCTTATAACATAATGTTCAGGGTGTGCTTTTATTACCTGACAGTTTCGGCAAAAACTCTCGTCACGCTGTCGGTGTCATCTCTGAAGAAGGCGAGAGTTTTCACCGAAACTGTCGGGTAATAAAAGCACACCCTACATGTCTGAATAGAGAACCTGAACATGACATAGACAGACTGATAGAAACTGGTGCAACACGTGGAGCATTTGCACTGTCGAAAATGAGTGCTGTAATTTTCGGACTATTGAGCGCATCTGAATATAAGCCACACCCACTAACTTTAAAAAGAAAACAAGTTTTGTACATATACAGGCAACACTTGTCTATAATCCACAAGTGTCCACGTTGTAACATGAGATATTTACACAGAAAGATTTGTTAAACTTTTAATTAAATACGTACCAGTAACATACACAAATATGTAAATGCTTTTTTCTGAACAGTGCCTGTAACACAGCTGGTTAAAAACTACCGCAGCCTACCAGGAAAAGTCCTTGATCGCTATCTTCATCTTCCTCCTGCACTAAAACCACTAAAGTCGTCTTCTTCAGTGTCGTCATTGAACAGAATACCTTAGTCCCACACTTCCTCAGTCTCTCTTTCGTTGTCACTCTCAACGTCACTTTCATCTCGAGGCAAATTCGTAAAAATCCGTAAATTAGCCACATCACTGTTTAAGCCGCAGTGTTCAAAGCATGTGAAAGAAGTAGCAGCTTATAGTCCAGAATTTACGGTAAAAGAAATCCAAAAAAGCAGGTTGTTTAATGGGTGAATTCATGATGTAACGCTAGTTGGAAAAACACCTGCTCAACAGATTGTAGTTTTGCTAAACCATCTCTGTTTTAAGTCAAAAATGAAGTCTGTGATTTTAATCCAATACATATTTGGTCATATTCAGTGAGTATCTTCTCACCGTGTGCTTGCGATCCATTCTGTGTTCATACACCGACATGGTTCTACCAATGGGAACAACAAAGTGTGT